AGCAGTCTTCGTCCTATGGTGTCCCGCAATCGTCCTACGCCTCGTCACAACACCGGACCAAAGATTCATATCCGGACGCGTATGGCTTGCGGGAGTACATCAAGAAGAAGTCGGACAAGCGTAGCCCGCGATCCTCAAAGGAAAAGGTCCTTGCCAGCGACAACCAGTACAGTTCCCGCTCAGCACATCCTGCTCGACACGACTACACTTCCTCGGCCGCATATGTTCAGCAACCTGCTACGACAAATTGGTATTCGCTTCCACCGGAGCACACCTCACGCGATCCCACTTCATCATCCCGACACCACCGCGAGCGAGACAAGGACAGGGAGAAGTCGAGTAGACGTGAGGTCGACAAGTCTGACGCGCGGGACCGCACCTATGAGAAGAGTGAAGACCGCGAGCGCAGGCGCAGAAAGGAGAAGGAGAAGGAGGCTGCTAAAGAGAGAGAACGGGTGCCTAGGGATCGCGACAGGCATAAGGAGAAGGAGAGGACGAGAGATCGGGAAGGTCGAGCTGCGGCAGACCCCAAACCTGCGGATGCCACCAATCCATACCAAGCATACGCTACTCCTGCCCAGGGCTCTGCGGACAGGTTACCCGCCGGATATACGGTACGTATGTTCGATCGCCTCGTAGTCATGGGTGACCTTAATATGATACAGGACTACGGCCGAACGCAAGCTTCACAGCCCACCGCTACTGCGACTTCTGTGCCGTGGTATGGGCTGACAGCCGGCGCGCGAACAGTCCCTACACACGCGCCTTCGCCCGCGGCCGATGCTGGCTATCCATCAGCTTCTGATCGAGAGGATCCTCCGTTACCTATCCCTCCCCCTGGGCACAACCGCGAGAGATCATCTTCCAAGACGCATCGTTCAAGGCCTCAAGTGCTTGTGCAGCAAGCAGGCCAAGACTCGGGCATATCCAGCAGCGAACAGGAGCACTCTGTGCGAGAACGTGTAAGCCCGAAATTTGTATGTGTGCGACGCAGCAATCACTTACGTATCCATAGACGAGAGTTTCTGATCGACGTTATGCAAGTCGAGAGCAAGGCAGCATTTTGGGGCGCGGTCAATCATCTGGACCTTCCGGCAGTGAGAACGAAAAACCACCCACCATCCAGAAGGAGCGCGTAAGTACTAGCTTCGCATAGGTCTCGGTAAGATATCCAACAAGCGTGGCTTTTCTAGCGCAAGCATAGGGTTCATGGAGATTCGTCGCGCCATAAGTCGAAGACGGCTGCGTCAGAAGGCCAGCAGCCCCCTGGACCGACCACAAGCCAAGAGATTGCCTCCGCATGGTATAACCAGGTATGCTCGGTACATATCCATGCTATCCTGCAGCTCATAGGAACTACGGGCCTCACAGTATCAACAAGAACGGAGTGGGTCGGGGGCGAAGTCAGCTGCTCCTAGTGGAAGCTCCCCTCAACGCCCGGCGACTGCAATGGCCAATGATAGTGCGCCTACGCAGTCTGGCGCGCCTTTCACAGGCAAGCCTACCTCACACGTAGGTCTGACTACATCTCACCGTCCTACGCGCCACATAGTCAGCATTCGCGCTGGGCAGGGTCCGGCCGACTCGAACGTTACGCTGCCCAAGACGCACAGCGCGACATCTATAGCCAGACAGGCGGATGCACAGCCAGCGGATCGCGCCTACGAGACCGCGTCCCGTTCTCAGACTACTCCGCAGTATTACCAAGCATCCACACCAGGGCTTTCTGCGCATGTGGATTCTTCGAGGGGTCTGCAGCAGTCCACCGTCACAATGGGCGCCCCGCGCACGCAGCAGCCGCCCCAAGGCTATCCTGGCACAGTGGGGCACTCACGACACGCGGATTCCAACGGTCTCATTTCCTCGACAGTGCATGGCTCTCAGCAGACTTTACCGGATGTGGTAGTCAGGCCTCCATCGGCTGCCCCGACACAGCACGACCCTTACGCTTCACGAGATGCTCCTCCTGCACTTCCTTCTCAGTATGTCTCTGCTGGTCTATCTGGTACTAGACTCCAGGTACCTTCGGGTGACTCCCGCTCGCGTTCCACTCCTGCTCCCGGTCATTCTCATGCTGCACAGGCGACTGCCCAACAGGCTCCATATTCGCACACACAAACCTCCGCCCAACACCCCGAGACGGATGCTTACCGCACAGCCTACGCGGACGTCCAGTACGGGTCCACGCATGGCAAGACCGCCCACCATGATCTACCATCGAGGTTCCCAGTGAGTGAAGATGTCAATGAATCGGCGCATGCGTCATCCGCGCAGGCACCTGGATACGGGAGCCAGCATACGGGTGTAGCCCATACTACAACCACCTCGCGTACAGCTGCAACGTCCCAAGGACAGCCGTCTGCATCCCCGAAGAGGAACATGACCTATCCCGGTGCTTCAGCGCCGCCTCGTCCTCCTTCAGTGCACGTCAATCCGTCCACATATCCTGCGGGCTACGATCCACGTTCACCCAAACCGCCAGTGGCCACAATTCCCTCTGAAGCGCAAGGTGGTCGTTCTTATGGCCATGCCCATGGGAGAGAACCGTCCGGTCAGAGTACTCACCATCAACCTTCGCCGCGATATGAGCAACACGCTGTGCAACCCGTCACGGGCACAGGACAAGCCTACGCGACCGGTGCAGGAGGACATTCGCCCTCGCGATATCACTTACCTGACCCGGGTCGATCACCCGCTGTTGGACACGCGGTCTCTGTTGGATCCGTGTCTGGCACGCCGAAGCACTCGCCCTCTGGTCGCCTGCACTCGCACCGTAACGGCTCGAACGACACCATCACTCACGCCGCACCCACGAAGCCATCTCCTAGCAGTGTATCTCGCCAACAGCTACCCCACGACTCCAGCGCCATGAATTCGCAAGCTCACGCTACGTCACGAACAGATAATGCCTCCGCTTCTCGTCAGCCTAATGCTTCGTCCGGATACCCTGATCCAGCCAGATACCGTTCTCCAGCTCCTCCGGGATACCCGACTGCTCAGCCTCCATCCTCCGCGCCCAATGGGGCTGCGCCCAGTCACTCACAATCGTACAGCACACAGACGCCCATTACAGCCTACGACCACCAATATGGCCGCATGCCGGCTTCAGCTACCCAGTCCACCTTCCCTTCTCAGTACGCCCAGGCCTCTGCGCAAACGCAATCACGTTCAGCTCAAGCAGCCGATTATGGGCAGCGTGCACAAGACCCTCCTCACTCCGCCCCTCCGACAACGACTACGATGCCTATATCCGGTCAGCGCATTCCGCCCCGAACTGCCCCGTCGCCCGCCCCGACGGCTAGTAGGCCGACGCGGCACGCTGCGGTATCGACACCCCCTGGAAAGGCACCCGCTCCTCTGCAATCCGCGCCCCCGCAACCTACCCGCAACCAGACATACCCAGCTCCAGCGCCTAGCGCACACTCGCGCACTGTTTCTGACCCCCAATACGCTGGTAGGCTGGGGGCTACCTCAGCTTATCCCTCTGCGAGCTTGTCTTCCCGGGCCCAGGGGCAATCGTCTAGGGCCGCGCCCGCTCAGCAACCCGATGTTCTCCTCACGCCATCATCGTTGGCGCCTTCGATGCTTCCGCAGGTCAATCCTCCTGTCCCATTAGGCCGGACGATGTCCAAGGCGTCGACCAAGGAGAAGGAGAAAGACAGGGAGCGAGACAAGGAGAAGAAGAAGGGCTTCTTCGGCATCAGCCTCTTCCGCTCGAGGTCTTCCCCTCCCAAGCCCCGAGACGTAGAACCCCCGCCCCCTCCTTCGGCCACGGCCACGGTCAGAGAAAGGCGGCAGCGCAACATTTCGCAGCCTACTCAGCCGATATCTTACACGCAAGCGCAGAACATCACGGTCAAGTCTCCCGCCGGCGGCCCTGCACCCCAACTCGCTACAGTCGCTGCCGTGTCGATCCCAGCTTCGATGCCGCCCCAATCGCAGTCGCAGTCGCAGTCGCAGCCACCATCTCAGCCCCAAACTCAACCCCAACTCCAATCCCAGTACCAGGCCCAGCCTCAGCCGCAACCTCAGGCTTATTCCCAGCCTAGTCATCAGGCCGACGCTCACGCTCAGCATCAGTATCAAGCCCAGTACGCTGCTCAACAGCGCTCTCAATATCATCCACAGCACCAGCGTGGAAACGCCTCTCTACAAATTCCGATCGCTGCGCCGACACCCGTACCTGCTGCGTCAGGCGAACGCAGTCCAAGTGGCAAGATGTTCACGCCGTTCAGGTTGTTGTCCAGGAAACATCGCACGGTGTCTGCGGCGTCTGTGGAGGCAGTAGAGGGCACAGTGGTACGTCTCCGCTCAGTCAAGATACTTGATCTCAGAGCTGACCAGATATGCTAGCTCACTACGCTGTTGACGGGCGCCGAATCTACGAGAAGCTCGACGGTGGGCCGTCCATCGCCTCCGTTGCGCGACCCACTTGTAGCGGCGCAGGAATGGCGCAACAGGGAGGAATACGAGCAGCAAGTGCGCGGGAAGATACGCCGGCGGAGGCCGGGGGTGACGTTTGATATCGCAGAGGACGTCCCCGAGGAGGGCCGTGTCCCATTGCAGAAGTCGTTGCGGGCCAACATTGCGGATATGCAGGCGGCGGGTGCCCCGGCACAGACTCATGCTCAGGCTCCGGTGCCGAGCAGGCAGGCGACAGCTTGACCCCAAGGAGTACTGCGGACATTTGGATAGGTATAGGTGATATGAATGGCTTCATTAGTTATTGACACTCCCCTCCCCCCTTTACCCTTCCTCCTTCCCCACATCCTCTGGTTAGGTAGAATTGTTCGTGTTATCTATGCATGCACCTGCTATGTAAATGTATCTCTATGTCGTCGCTACAGCTTTCGCTAGTGCAGGATGTATCATATCATCTGTGTAATCTGAGTGTTTCAAAAGCTAGAGCCCTATGGCAGTCGACGTCCATGACGAGCTAAGGCCGGTATACCAGAGATGTGTTGGGTGTCTGTGGTTGTGATGCTTAGCACCTCAACAACGGTTCGATGGTGTAGTTGGTTATCACGTCTGTCTCACAGTTCCTCTTGAAGGACAAGTGCACAGGAGGTCTCCGGTTCGAGCCCGGATCGAACCACTTTTTTTCGCTCCTTCTACCGTGAAAGAGGGATATGCTGATTAGCCGCACGCTGGAGGGTTTATTTACGCCGCGAAGCACCCTTGACTGAAGGTGTGGACCGGCAGCCGGGATGTGACGTCTCACGTTCCACGGGCATGAGAAACTGCATTTTAGACGAGGTTTCGGGCCGTACGGTGTGAGTGGGAGCAGCAACAGCAATGTTTGCGAAGCGATGATGCTCGCCATCCTCCTGGGCGGCGGGAAGAGACGTATCGGCTCCGGACATGGTCTCCTACCCGTGGGTGACCAGTGCGTGTATAGGTACATTTTCGTGTGGAAAGTTTATCTCGACTTATCTATATACAGCGTCGACATTATTGAGCTGCAAGACGGCGATAGAAAGAGCTGAGCATGCGTTGAGGCCGGCGAAGAAAAGCACGAATTACGGCAGCCACATGCACGTACTTAGTAGAAAGGGCTTGGCGCCCGACGGCGAAGGCGCAGCACGCCGGACCCCGCACTAGACGCCGATCATGCTACTCCAATAGAGATGAGGCGCCGTGTCTGACGGTAGTTAACTGCATTCCTTCTTCTCCTTCTCACTTCTGTCTCTCCTTGCTTTCCTCCTCCCAGCACCCGTCCACTCCCCACGCAGCCTCCCAGAGGCGCACCACCGTCGCACAAGATGATGACGCCTATGCGTTATGTGGTATTGGTGCTGGCCATCATTGTAAGCACCCTCCTCGTTCTCCGCAGCTCCCTCTCGTCCTGACCCCAGACACGTAGATCAGTTTGCACTTTATCCTTAGCTTCTCGCACGAGGAGTACGGCCGCGCAACATCCCTATCCCGTCTCTCCGAACAGTTTGGCGGCTCCTCGTCTCAACCGCCGTACAAGAACGGTGTGCCAGAAGAGTACTACGTCCCACCTACTCCACCTGTCCAAGGGCGCCGAGCGAACGCTACTTTCGTCCTTTTGGCCCGCAACGGAGACCTGAACGGTGTTGTGATGAGCATGAAGCAAGTCGGTTAGTACATCCACATATCCCCGGTGGACTATATTGAATCCACTCTCTAGAGGACCGTTTCAACAAGGAGTTCCAGTACCCCTACGTCTTCTTGAACGAGGAACCATTCTCGGATGAGTTCAAGGAGTAAGCCCGTCGTCGGCTTCAGTGTAAGCTGTCGTATTGACTTGCTCTGGCCAGACGCGTATCAGCTCTCACAGACGCGAAGATCGAGTTTGGCCTTATACCGAAGAAGGATTGGGTTCAACCTGATTGGATTGACGAGACCCGCGCTGCAGAGGAACGCAAGAAGATGGTGCAGAACAACGTCATATATGGCGGAAGTGTGGCCTACCGCAACATGTGCCGGTTCAATTCGGGCGTGAGCACTCACTGAATCTAAGAATGTCAAGGCAAGCATGGTGCTAAGGGCCAATAGTTCTTCTACAGGCAAGAATTGCTTGCAAAGTACAAGTACTACTGGCGTGTCGAGTAAGTCGCATGCACTGAAGCGAATTAGCTGTTGCTCATGCTGGTATAGACCCGATGTCACTTTCTTCTGTGACTTGCACTACGACGTATGTACATTACAGAGGTTGTACTATTGCACCAGTCTGACGCGTCGCCCAACAGCCGTTCTTGCTCATGGAAGACCAGAAGAAAGTCTACGGTATGTAGAGGCATGGCTCTCCTGAGGTCTATTTACCGATGTCCTTCTTCTGCAGGCTTCACCGTATCCTTGTACGAGTATCCCGCCACCATTCCTACGCTCTGGGATTCAGTCAAAGGTCCGTCTTTGGGTTCATGTTCGATCTTGGCGTTACTCATCGCACCACAGAGTTCATCAACGCCAACCCCGATCTTGTCGACCCGGACAGCGCCATGCGTTTCATCTCTGATGACGGCGGCGAGACCTACAACAACTGTCACTGTACGTCTGAATCGCTCCAGAGGCTAGTGCTACTGACTTAACATCGGCCATTCGTCGACGCTAGTCTGGAGTAACTTCGAGATCGGTGATCTCGACTTTTGGCGGGGCGAGGCGTACTCCAAGTTCTTCGACTTCCTCGACGAGAAGGGCGGGTTCTACTATGAGGTAGGCCTCGACCATCGAACACGCTGAGTAAACGGATGATTGACAAGGTCTGGGCAGCGATGGGGAGATGCGCCCGTGCACAGCATTGGCGCGGCGCTCTTTGCGAAGAAGGACCAGATCCACTTTTTCAATGATATTGGTACGTGGCCTCTTGCGAATGGCTGTCCAACCGAGACGGCTTCACTGACCGCGATCTGCCCATCAGGATACCGCCACAACCCCTTCCAACACTGCCCACAAGGCGACCTGCACAAGAAGGGCAAATGCTGGTGCAATCCCAAAGAAAACTTCGGTGAGTGTTGGCCGCTGCTCCCAACAAATCCTAGCTCCTCCATCCACTCCCAGAGACTGACATTACGCTATTACTACAGATTACGAGTGGTACAGCTGCCTCAAGCGCTACGATGCCCTCTTCGCGTGAGCCGCTCCCGTCGGCGCGTGTGTTCATGTGTATCCTCCTCCGTACAGTATTTATCCCCCCTTGCTTCATCGTCGCGACCGTGCACCTTCTGCGTGGGATTGTGTTGAGAAGCCGCTGTATTGGTGCAGCCTGTATGCCGCTGCGATCGGAAGCAGAAGCAGCCGTGCACATAGAGGGCCGCGGTGCGGCGCATAGCATACGAACACTTATAGCGCTGGTGTCCATTGAACGACTGTCATAGGATTGACTGCGAGTAATACTGATACTATTGTTATGCGAGCACCGTCTTAGCATCCAATACACAAACTGATCGCTTCGAAGGACCACGTACCGAGTCATACAGCCTAGTCCAGTTCGATCCCAGCGACGTGTCAATGAGCCGCTGTACGTGCTCCTCAACCGCCGACTGGGTGAGGCCTTGCTGGAAGCGGTCGCGTAGCTGCGACGCCGTCTGCTCGCCGAACGCGGCGAAGCACGGTAGGGACGAGTCCTTCTGCATGAGCTCGACCAACGCTGCACGAAGGATCATAATTAGACTGATGTGCCTGGCAGGAGGGAGCCGACCTCCTCAAGAAAGGGAGAAAAAAGAAAAAAAAAAAAAAAGCAGAGTACTCACTGACGATCCGGTCGCAATGCTTGCGGGCAGCGTCGAAGCCCTCCCTGAACAGCTTCCGGAACTCACGATAGGCGGGACCGTCAAGCCCGCCGAGGACCTCGATATACTCGAGCGGGAGCTTGAACGGGGCAGCCTCGAAGCCAATGTTGCCGGGCGAGTTGGAGAGCATGAAGCCAAAGTCGATGTGGATGAGGTGCCCGTCGCGGTCGAGGAGGATGTTGCCGTTGTGCCGGTCCTTGATCTGCAGCAGGTACGTGACGAGGGAGTAGCCCGCGAGCGACTTGGCGAAGTTACGCTGCGCGCGGACGAACTTCGCGGAGGAGGGGTCGCCGTAGGTCTGTTGTACAGTGTGGAAGATGAAAAGGACGTAGAATGTGGTAGTGTGGGATGTTCTTACCGTCTTGAAATGGTCGAGCAGGGTGACGTGCCCGAACCGGCCCTCAGCTAACCTCCGCGCATACTCAGCCTTCTTGATGGAGTGTATCGAGACGGCGTCGGTGATGGTCTCCACCAGCCCGGAAGAGTTGCCAGTGATAAGTATTCGGAAGCTGCAAGGACACTTAAGACCATCTCATGCCGCAAAAATATCATACCACGTACTATCGTACCCAGCACTGGCAGTTCTCTTCCTTCCAGATCTTCTCGAACTCCTGGATCAGCTGAACAGCGAGCTGCTCTTGTCGAAGGTCACCGCCGGTCTTGACAATTACTGACACACAGTCCCAGTTTGCTATTTCGCGATCGTGGTGAGACAGTTAGCCTTTGACTAGGTTCCAAGAGACTTACCTAAGTGACCGTATGGCGAGGCTTGTCGTACACGAGCCTATTTGCCACATGATCAGCCAGATTAACAGGCATTTCCACCATGTCAAAGCTAACCTTCTTCGCCGCCCACGACTCGCTGAACACCACAGCAGACGGGTCAGCCTTGCTCAGCTCTCTCCTGATGATGCCCTCATCCTCGGCGGTCTTCATGTCCCCATCCACAGGACTGATCCGCAACGAGCTCTCGTTCACACCGTTCTCGCGCATCCGCGCCATCCGCTCCTCCTCCAGTGCCAGCATCTCCTCCATGATGCGGTCCCGGATTGCCGCCGCCTCCGCTGGCTGCAGCTTCATGCGCATCGGTACTGGGGCTGTAGGTTCCGTCGATGGACCAGCGCCGGGCGGCTGGGTACTTCCGTTCGCGGATGCACCCGTTAGCCAACTCGTGCCGGGGAGCCAGCGTAGAGGCGCGCCGAGCATGGAGGGTTCTGGGGGAGGTGGGGGCATACCGGGGGCGGTTACCGCTGTGACGGGTTCCCGCACGAGACTCGCGTTCAGTTGTGCGAGCATGACCGCCGCCGTGCGCATCCGTTCGGAGTACTCGTCGAGGGACAGCACGCGGGTCGCCGGCCCTTGACTCTGCTGGCGCGAGAGGGGACCGGGTTCGTTGACAGGAGGCATCTGCGGTGTGCCACGTATGGAGGGGGGTATACCGAGAGAGGGGGTATGCGCGCTGAACGGATCGTGCTTGTCGAGGAAAGGGGTGTCAGGGTTTGACGAGGTCCGTGACCATGTCGCCATGTCGAGTTCCTTGTTCTTCGGAGGAGGCGGGAGGACGATTGAGTCCGAGAGGTCCATCTCGTTGGCGCGGAGGGTGCTCTCCGTGCCATAGAGCTGTTCTACAAGGTCAATTTCTTCCTCCTCCTCACCAGCGGGCGAGGATGGAGAGACGACAGATGGCGAAACAACCTGGGGCTCGGACTCCGGCCCCTCAGCGTCCCCTGCGTCATGGCCGAGTGCCGCCTCAGAGCCGTTGACATGGATGGGAATCAACACCGAAGGCTTGGGGTGGGATTCGCTCTTGGTGAACGACACCAGGTCCCGGGATGCCCCC